ACTCACCCCTCGGGTGGGACGCAGCAGAGAGTGGAGGGGTGGAGCTTGAGAATAAAGGCAACAGAGATGTCAAGCTTTAGAATGGGGCACAGATGCCACTGAGGCCAGCCCTACCCCCTGAAATTGCAAGTTTTTACACCAAGAAATGTGTCAAAATTTACTAGCTGTGTGACCCTGGGCAAGTGACTTAGCCACTTTCTGTGAGTAGCTTAACCTATGAAATGGGGACCGCAGGGTCACTGTGAGGGTTCAATGAGCCCCTGTGCATGGGAGGTGAGAGCGGAGACTCCCGCTGGCACACAGCAAGTGACACACGAGCTCGTTTTACCATCAATTCTGTTTAAACCAAACCACGCTGCAGGTTCTGTCATAATCACAGACTCCTGACGAATAAAGACTTGGTGATGCTGAGAACATTGAAATGAAAGACAAAAGAAACACCTCAATAAACTCCTGGGTGGTGGTCCCAAGCAGGTGTAGAGGAAAACGAAGACTGCAGTCAGAAGGACGGTGAGCAGCAGCCCCACCTCCGCCTCGAGACAGCACGGGAACTGCTGGTGACCGTCAACCCCGCACAACCTCAAGACAGAGCTTCCACCTTCTGAGTTTCTAGACTCTAGTTTCCCTTTTAGCCATTTTTAAGTAAGACTATACAATTTTTGCAAATAATGTAACACAAATCTATTTGAAGAGTTCTGGGACCCAGTCTAATGCACCAGTCTCCTGGCAACGCAGCCGCCATGTCATTCATTCACTTTTACTCTACAGGGGCTCAACTCGTAATTCACGTTTGAACTGAGACGACAAATAAATTTCCCCACTTCTAAAATCCACAAGTGCTTTAAACAGTAAGCCAATTCCACATAGTTTTTAGAACTTACCTTTATAAGAATGTTTATATGTCATCCATTCAACATTTGTTATATATGAAAACAAACAAAAACAAACTTATCAGGCATAAAAAACGGGCATATGATTTGGGTGTGACAGGCCTGAGTTTAAATCCTGACTCATCACTAACCACATGGCCTCAGACAGATCATCCAACCTCTCTGAATGTGCATTTCCATGTGAGTAAAAACAGGGAAAGTAACACTTACCTTCAAAGTGTGGTATGAGGACCGAATACAACAGTCCCTATATATGAGTGGCCAGCACTGCTGGGCATGCTATGCTATCATGTCCCTGTGTGGTGGGGCACCTGATTTTAAAAAGATGAAGGCACTGCAGGAGAATGCCAACCACTAAATGTAAAGGGGGCAGCTATGTTAGAAAAACCACCATTCTGCAACCACCAAAGCAGTAACTGACTAAGGTGGGATCACCCACGGATGGTAAAACTATCCAAGTCTCTTCTCCTGGCTCACCTGACAATTACAGAGAAGTGGGTTGGGTTTTATGGTGCAGACCCAGCCGACACTATCTGCCGGGCATGAAACAGCCTGACGTGTGTGCTGTGATGCGCCAAAGAGCAGGAAACGTCAAGCTTATGCGATGTTACTGCCACAGACGCGTGAGCTGACTCTCAACAGGAGGAAATATCAGACAAGTCCAAAGGAAGGAATATTCTACAAAACTGGCCCATACTCTTCAAAAATGTGTCATGAGAGACAAAGGAAAGACAAGGAACCGCTCCAGACTAAAGGAGGGTAAAGAGATGTGACACTGAGGCCACTGTGGACCTCAAACTGGGTCCTAGATGAGGGAAAGCCACAATGAAGGCGGCACTGGGACGCCTGATGAGAACCGAACACTGACAGTGTCATGTGATAAATGTGTCGATGTCAACTTTCTCGTATTTTACAACTGCACTATGGCTAACAGAAAGTCCGACTGTAAGAAAAGTATGCTTGTTTATTTAGGATAAGGGGGCATCAAAAGGAGAGAGAAATACAGCAAAAGCAGGAAATGTTAGCAGCTGATGACTGAGCAAGCGTACATCAGAGTCGTTTGTACTAGTATCGCTGTTCTGATATTTGAAGCTACTTCTCAAGAAGCTTAATTTTTTAAAAAGATGAACATATGATTTCTGCCCAGAGAATCTTGTCTCTACCCTGGCCAGCGTGGCTCAGTGGTTAGAGTGTTGGCCCATGGACTGAAGGGTCCTGGGTTCAATTCTGGCCAAGGGCACGTACCTCGGTCGCAGGCTCAATCCCCATCTGGAGGGTGTGCAGGAGGCAACCAATCGATGTGTCTCTCTCACATCGATGTGTCCTCTCCCTCTCTCCCTCCTCTCTCTCTCCCTTCCACTCTCTCTGAAAAGCAATGGAAAAAATATTCTCCAATGAGGCTAAAAAAAAATCTTATCTCCTGCGAAAGATAATAAACTCTAATAACTATAACGAAGAGCTTTGCAGTAGAAATATGGTCAAGTTTGGGAGATGATACTGTTTTCACTGGGAATTATCAGGTGACATGGGCCTTAAAGAGTCCATTAGAAAGTAGTTTATATTTCATTTTTTTAAAAATATGTCTGTATTGATTTCAGAGAGAGGAAGGGAGAGGGAAAGATAGAAACATCAATGATGAGAGTTACTGATCAGCTGCCTCCTGCACATCCCCTACTGGGGATCAAGGCTGCAACTGGGGCACGTGCCCTGACCAGGAATCGAACTGCCATCTCCTGAATCCTAGGTCTATGCTCAAACACTGAGCCACACCAGCTGGGCAGTTTATATTTCATTTTAAAACGATATATAGTGAATTCCTGATTATCTGAGAGTACATTTACCAGAGTATGGCAATCACGACCAAAAGAAAAAAAGAAAAAAAAGTGTGTGGAAGTAAAACTGTGACGCATTAGGAGACAGCTGCTCTCCAGAATTACAGTCATCAGCTAGTGCCACACTACTTACAGCCCTGCCCAGAGGTTTACATGTCACTGTTAGTTATTCAGCCTCAATCAGGACCAGGGTCTGGTCAGCCTCACTTCCCACCTAACCATCTTGGGCAGCTGAGACCAAAGTCTGTTTCTCAGAACTCAAGAGTTTTTTAAGCATTTGTTTAACTAAGACTGGGAAAAACAATGGATTAATCATGGCAGGTAAGGCTAGGAGTTGAAGCGATGGCTTTAAAACTGGCCATTTTAAAGTCTAGGTTCAACTAATTCAAGAACTGTGTGGTGGCAGAAGGGATGTAATGAAATGAACACCCAAAAGTGGAGTAGGCTGACCTCCAACTGCGGGTCTAGGTCACCGTAAGTCTGACCCAGAGATAGTGGAAGGGTGGCGTACTTCCTCCTGATGGTTGGTGAGCGTGACTGGTGGCTGGACTCTAAACCATGGGTGAGCCGAGGCCCTTCCCTTTTCTTCCTCCCATTAGAGAAATTCCCTCGGCTCTATGCGAACTCTCTTTCTGGAGACACAGTGAGCACAGCATCCCCTCCAGTCATGGGAAAGTAATGGAGGTGCTGAGTGACTCTTAGGTGACCTTCCCCATCAGCGTGGGACTCGGCACTCCTGCCCTGGGCTAGGGTGAAGAGTATTTTAGGGGTCTTTACTTCCATGTGGATTGTCCTTGTAACTCCAGGCATGTTCTGTTTTCACTAACCTTTATCTGTCCTGTTTCCTAAAGACACCTGGGCTCTGGACGGAGGACCCAGCACAGCCGGCACAGAGAGCTGCCATGACCTCTGATTCCAGCCCCACCGATACGAAAACTAGAGGGACTCACAAACTTGTCTCATCAAAGATGTGTTCAACTAGAACCTTAACAGTAGGCCTACATTTTATGCCCTTTTCAATGTTCTATGGCACCTCGCACATAAGTACCTTGTGCTAGCAAATTTATTGATGTTTATTAAATATTTTAGGCTGATGTTAATGTATAATTCTAAGAGTACATGATTTTTGAGTTAAAAGAAATAGCTTCCTCATTTCTGGAAATAAAATTTCTTCCATGTTTATAGATTTAACATTTTACTTGCCCTTAAAGAAGTATATTTTACATTTACTGGAAAGATAATGAAAAAATAATAGAGCCTTGGTGTCCTTATACAAAATACTGACCAAAATAACACATTCCTAATTATCAGGTTATAAGTTAGTCCCCTGAAAACTTTGACCTAATTCTCACCAGCCACGGCAGAAAGCCCTGGCAGCAGGGGAACGTGGTGCATGCAGCCGGGCAGGTGAAGACCCCCGCAGGGAGGGAATACTTTCTCCACGGCAGCTGCAGGAACACGGTAAGCACACTGGTGAAACCCTCTGCACGCACGGCTGAGGCTCTTCTGTGGTTTAAAGAGCAAAGCCAGCTCCTTCTGAAACTCTTCCTGTTGTCGGTGTTAGTAACAGTGGTTTAAACAACAACATAAACTGCCCACCAAACACCCCACTTTGTGTGAAATGTGTGCACAGAAGTCACCCAGAGCCCATGCTTGCTGCGGGCTCCATTTCCCTTTTGGCGACCTCACTCTCGGGAGCACCTCTTGGAGAGAGGCTGAAGGTGAGATTTTTTTTGAAGAACCTAGATTTGGTTGCTTTCTCCCTTTAAATTCAGCACTGAAGTCAAATAAAATGTTGTAATGGCTGAGTTACCAGGTAGAACACAATGACTATGCCAAAGTTAAGTGCTTTACCAAATTTGTAAGTCTGCAGATTTGTGACACACACGGTGGTTAATAAGCAGCTGAGCATGATTCTTGCAGATGAAATGGATGTTAAACTGTGCAGTGTTAAGAGGCACAATTGACACAATAGCTAAAATGTCCAATCACAGGTGGGATGGTCCTGACTAGCAGAAACAACACTCCGGAGCAGTGTCACTCAGAGGCCACCGGTAGCCAGACTGCCACCAGCCTGTGACGAGACCCAGTGTCTGCCCAGACATGACCACATTGGGCGGGTCTGCGTGTGAAGAGCTGACAAGTATGCTCTGTGGCTCAGCTCACTGCCGCTCTCTGCCAAGCTAGAAGGGGGGACAGCGCAGTCTGCGCTCTATGGAGAGAGATGCTAATGTGGAGACAAGTGTGACTTTCCACCAAACACCTAAAGCGTACATACCTGTTCCTGCAGGTCGTAGTCGTAGCTGTCGTGCAGCAGAAGACTGAGGACATACCGAGTGTAAATCATGGCATCGATGCCACATTTCTCCAGCTCCTGTCCCAGCCAGGTCTGCACTGGACCCAACGCATGAAGCAGAGACATTTCAGAGACAGATACTGGGCCTGGATGAGAGCTGGAGGAGCTTTCAGATGGTAAACCATCCACGACAAGTGTACAGATGGGGCGCATGAATCTAGGTGGCTGACATCCTTAAAACACAGAGCATTTTCTGTAGCTGATATTCTGTTGGTATGTGGAGGGGATTTTCACTCCAGGAGGCAGGAGAGACGCGGGACATGGAGGATGAGCGCTGATTTGCTGGCAGTCAGCCGTCTAGCATGGAACTTCCCTCTTCAAGCATGACCAGGAGTAAGCACAGCATCCCGACAGCAACACACACACAGGTGGGATGTTCACTTTAATTTCACATGGAGGCCAAATGTGAGTCTCCGGCAGGACCTATGAAAACAAGAGAGAAGACGGTATGCATCATGTGTAGTATAAACTGAGTTACTGGTCTTGTGAAAAAACCCAAATGAACTATTCCTCTTTTTCTGTTGTTGTTCACCCTCACCTGAGGATTTTTCCATTAATTTTTAGAGAGTGGGAGGGGGAGGAGAGAGAGAGACATTAACTGGTTGCCTCCCGCATGCACTCCAGTTGGGGATCGAGCCTGCAACCCAGGTACGTGCCCTTGGCCGGAATCAAACCCGAGACTCTCCAGTCCATGCGCCGATGCTCTAACCAGTGAGCAGCCGGCCAGAGCAAGAGACTTCCCATTTCTTTAGGAAGCATTCAAGTAGTAGGTGAGAGAAAAACTGGCATACAAATGGAAAGTATGATAAACTACCCTCCCCATTTGTTTTATATTTGCTTAATCCTGCAGGTTTCTTCACTAATATGAGAATAGTAATTATGTAAACTGTATTGGCTTTTTAGAAAAAACAACTGATTTCCGTGCTGTCCTTAAAGAACTGCCTTCGTTCGTATGGCCCAGTCCTGGCAGCGTCACCAGGTCAGGACCACCCTATTGTCTCCTACAAATTCACAGGACACTGCACAGAACTCAGAGCTCAGTGTGGAGGGTAGGCCCAGGAACACAGCAGACTCCCCGCCATCCATCTGGGGTTGAGTCTGTGCACATCCGCACAGCAACCTCTGCACCAGGCCATGCTGCCCCACAGGGCACACAGTCAGGAGTGCAGCAACCCTGGGCTTGTTCTGTGGCCTAGTGTACAGTCTCCTGCCACTTTAAGGACTCCAGGATTAAAAATAGCCCTGGTTGTGAATAAAAATCACCCCCCAAAGACTAGGGCAACTCTATGCAGGCATGGGATTACAGCCTTGGGGCCTAATACTAACCTGAGCCTGGAAGTGAAGGTGGTAAGAGGGTAACACCTGTCAAGCCCCGCCTCTCCCATGACACTGCCCAGGAAACCCCACGCCCCCCAGGGCCCTGTGCTGTTTATGACAGAATACAGAACCAGAATAACAAACTGAATTTAAAAAATAAAAGCAGTCAGCTTTTTCTACATGTCCACATGTTTTCAGTGGTATTATGAGTCCCAAATAAATTGTCGATTAAGGAAAAAAGAAAACACATCTAGATATCTAAGTTATTCCATCAGTAAATACTTTTCCAACAAACAGACAAGACGTGGTCATGACACAAATTTCAAATGAGTAATTTAGTAAGAAAGGGTTTGGGGGGGGGAATGGGATGAGGGTCATCTGAAGATGCTCGTGACCTTCCAAAATCTCACCCCTTATGTAACTGTTCTAAGAAATACAGTGCTACCTTCTTCCACTCTTCATAACAACACATACATCACTGAAAACCACCCCAATCATAGCTCCCAGTCGGGATCCGTTACTCAGGGAGCACAAGCATGTCTCCCATGAGCTGCGACACATACACGCCACAGCGCAGTTGCTCCAGTCCTCAAGCAGATGCGGGCCAGCTTAATTCAAGGATCGCAGTGTTTCCCTTCTCCTGTGCAATCTACTGAATATATACACTAGGTTTGCTGAAAACACGTAAGTTATTTCAAAAATGTAATCTCTCTTTGACATGGTACATACATATTATTTGTGGAATGTTTTCTCAATTTCCTCGTGTGACATCACAACTGATTCAAGAGCTCCAGGTGGCAAATGTCACTGATCGGGCTCAATGGCCCAAACGTAAATGTGGAGCTTGTGGGTTAAAATCTGGGCCTCTGTTTATCCAACATAGTCACCTGCTGAGACGTTCTTTTAGCGTCAAGCACTTCTTTTTTTCTGCTCAAGTTTGGCACGTGCACTTTTATTAAGTTTTCTACACCACTTTTTAAAAGAGAAGGACCCACACGTAACTTCCCACACTAACAAGTCCATTAGTGCTTTGCTGTGAGCATAACCTTGTTTCTTCCTCTGTATAGAACTCAGGCGTCTTTATTACCTCAACATGAATAATAATGGTTTATATTCTTTTTTCATCTAACGCTATGTTACCCCAATGTTGTTCTGGGGTCTCACTCACTGTCTCCCATGGCAGCCACTGGTCACCTAGTGCTATCTAGGTTAAGTAAAAAATCAGCTTCTCAGGCACACCGGCCACCGTTCAGGTGCGCAACAGCCACACGAACAGGTGGCTACTGTGCAAGCGCAGGACACTTCTCGTGGCAGGAGCTCGAGGGGAAGCGCTGCTCTGGCTCTCTCCAGCAAATGACTGCGCTGGGCTGAGCGGTGAGTCCCTAGCTCTTGGAGGGGTTCACATGCCCTCCCCATGTGCCTGTGACTGCTCCAGATGTTCTTCTTCACACCCCGGATAGGGGCATCACAGCTACTTTGTAACAACAATGTGCCCAAGAGGAAGATTGGAAAACATCTACCTTTATGTTTGATAGGTCTCAAATTTCAACAGGTCAGATGTGATTACAGAATGTGATCGCGGAAGGTCCAACAATGAAGCCAGATGGTACAGAACAGCAAGAACAGATGGAGCTTACTACCAAGCAAGAAGACCGAGAATAACTAGGACAGCCCCAGGACAAAATCTGGAAAGGTTATCTAGTCAAAATAGGGGAGGTTATGCTGCAGAAACCAACAACCCCCAGATCACAGCAGCTTCACACACAGGTCTGTGTCTCACACATGCTGCATGTCCATCCCAGGTTGGCAGGGATGCTCAGCATTCACTCAGTGCAACAATCAGGGAGACAAGATGACAGGATGGCCCCCGCCATGAACCCTGCCAGCCCAGGACCCAGAGAAAGAGATCTGTGCCAAGGCATGTGCTGGAGCTTTGAAAGCTGCTCTCTGGAAGTGGATGGCTCACAGCCCATCATTCGGAGCAAGTCTCCTGGCCTCACCTCACTTCAGCAGGTGGAGACCCGCACCCCTCACATGAACGGGGGAGATGAGGGAAGAGCAGAACAGTGTCAAAGCTCCAACGACCTCCGTGATGGGAAACTCTCAAGTTCAACACTGTTGGAACCAGCATTCCAGCAAACTTAGATGGACTATTTGAGGCACAGGTGAATTAAAACAGTGCAAAAGAAAAAAATAACCTGTACAAGAGAGACTAGAATACCATGCTCAGAAGGTTTTGGAAGGCACAACAGCTGAAACATTCAGACCTAAGTAGCGATGGAGCCCACACCTGCCCCACCTCCTCTCAGAAGCCTTCTCCAACTACCTAAGGCCACACTGCTCTGGCCCCGTCACCTCTGCCTTTCGATGACATCCATTCACACTGTCCTCCAACTGCCTCCTGCATGTAGGGTCCTCACAAATGAGGCTGAAAGCTCTTCAGGGCCAAACTGCGACATATTCCATGTACTAGTTAGCAGAATGCTTAGGCCTTGGCAGGTGATCAAACTGTGCCAAACTAAATACTTCCCAAATCTAAATTGGGGCAATAGATTCTGAAAAAGAGAGGTGAAATAAAACAATACTCGTAATACCAGCATGTGGAGGGGAGGGTGGAACTCAACTCCCCCCCCCCC